GTGTCGCTGTCTGTCTGTCTGTCTGTCTGCCTGCCTGTCTGTCTGTCCCCGCTCTCCTCTTTTTCCTTTCACGCGCGACGAAACTTCCGGCGATTAGCGCGTTATAAAACGCGCGAGTTGTATCAGTCGCTAAAACGAAAAAAAAAGAGAAAAAATTAGCTCACGCGAGCGCTGAATGAAACTATCGGAAAAAAGCACACAATAGCCAATAAGTCCAAGTACGCGCGCGGCGGAACAAAGAGTCGCAATTTGCGCGACGACAATTAACTTATAGATGTGGAAAAACAGATTTCTCCGCACCTTCCCTCTTTCGGTCGACAATGCCTCCGTGGGCTGCCGTCGCGAGCGGCAATCGCGCAGCTATTCCACTCCGCTTGACCGTTTCGCCCCGCGACTGCATAGAGCCACCGTGACATTGAAACGCTCGCTCGCTGCAGGCGGAATTGGGCCAATCCAAGGCGCGAGCCACGTGTTGCTCTTTCGTGCGCAGCCTTTGCCCCCCTCCCCCCACGACTCCCGGCCGCCCTCGCGCCAGTCGACTTTGCTCGCGATGCGTCGTCTTTTTTGTCTGGCTCGCCGACGGAGGGAATGGAAAAAATGGAGACGCGTCGCGACGGAGGAGGCGCGAGCGCTCGACTCGTCGACGAGTGGCGCGGCCGAGCTGATTTATACAGCGCGCAGCCGTCGCGTACGATCTAAGATTACCTCCCCGGGCGCGAGCGGAGCACCTGCTCGGTCTGCCAAGCTCGCCGCCGCCTCGGCCCCCCCCTCTCGCCGGCAGCCTATATCGGCGCTCGGTTTTGCAATTTTCGGGTATTTTCGTGAGCGAAGGGTTGAAACTCGAGAGAGCGCGCGCGGCCCAGATCCGAAGGTCCAGCGGCATCGGACGGCCGCGGAAACAAGGACGCGCCTGGCGCGCGCTTGCGTAAGGTTTATTTTGGAGCGAGCCGTGGCGGGCCGATGCATCGGCCGAGAGCGCTGTTTTTGGGCTGGCTCCCTCGCCCGATCGGCGAGTTGGCTTGACTCATCGCGGCCGGAGGTCGCGCGGCCCGATTGGTCGGGCCGAGGATTCCGCAAGACGCGGCGGCCGCGCGCCGGTGCCCGTGGCTGTCGCCGCGGCGGGCGCGTCGTCGGTCGCGTGCTCCCCCGCGGCATCGATCGCCAGCGCGGCGGCCAGCGGGCGGGCGAGTTGGCACGGGCGCGCGGCCTGCCCGCATTGCGAATCGATATTTCCGTCGCAAGCTCCGTTCGCGCGCGCGCCGATAATTCAAAACGGAGCCGTGGCCGCGCGGCCAAAAAAGACGCTGTCACCCGAATATCGGCGGCGGCGGGCCGCGCCGGGAGCGCCCGCGTCGCGCGGTTGGCGCGCGCTCAACGCAGCCGGGCCGCCTCGGTTGTGCAACCACGGCAGCGCCGGCGGCCCGTCGACGGCCTAATCTAGGCGGGCGCGCGGCGGCGCGCGCCAGTGCCCGGCCGTCGGCCGCGGGCCGCGAGTCGTCCCTGCTTTTTAAGGGCGCGCCGTCGGCGAAGGGCGTCGTCGGGCGGCTGCCCCTATAAGAGCGCCCGCCGCTCCCGAGCTTGCGCCCAGGTGGTAAACAGCAGTACTCACGAGTAGTGGAATCGGCGCGCAGCCTCGCTCCGTCGTAGCAGCGCAGTGATGTAACGTGAGGCGAGCGCCGCCACTCGCGCGAGCGCGCGCGCGCACGCTCGCACACATACACACACACGCGAGTGCTGCTACTGCTACCGCTACCGCTGCGGCTGCCGCTGCCGCCGCTGCTGCTGCTGCTGCTGCTGCCGCTGCTGCTGCTGCTGCTGCTGCTGCTAGTGCGCTAGTAATAATAGTCGTGGAGTTGCGCGCAGCTCTGCTCTACTACTCTATCGCCTAGTCAGTCTGCCTCGCGACTTCGCGTCGCGTTCAGTTCGCTCGCTCGCTCGCTCGCCCGCTCGTTCGTTCGTTCGTTCGTTCGTTCGTTCGTTAGCTGCGTTTTCCCCGCGCGCATCACAAGTGCAAGCAAGACGGCCGCAGAGAGAGAAAGAGGGAAGAGAGGTTTCTTTCGCTACCGATTTTTTCGTTGTTCGCAACGGCAGGATGGGGCTCGTGCCAGATGCGCGTTTACACGAGAGCTCACGATATGCATACTGTAAATGCACTATCTGGTACGACATCTCGACTGCCAACTCTCCACTTCGAAATATCAAAAAAAAAAAAAACAACCACCATATCATCTCTCTCTCACCATCGACAGATCTCTGAGCAGTGTACATAGAGACTCTAGTGCTTCCGTTTTTTTTTCTCTTACTTTCATTGTAAGTGTGCGTGAATCCGTGTGTGTGTGTGCGTGCGCGCGACGACGTTATCGTAATCGGCAAAGTTCAAGGTTGTTGCAGCGTCGCCCGCGCGCGCACTCGTGTAAATTTTTATTGTATATACGCGCGTCGGCTAGTCTCCTCGCGAACGGGCAAGAAAGGCGCCGAACCGCGCCGCTATTTCCGAACGAGCGCGAAATGCCACGGGCGTTAGTCATTAGTGCACGCGCGTAAACAACGCGAAATTGCCCAGCCCATCCGCGACGAGTGCGCGGCGCGTGTAGGTGCGCAGCTCGCTCTCTGTCGAAACGCTGCCGGCCGAACGTTCGACCTAATTCTTCTTTTTCTTTTTCTCTTTCTTTTTCTCTTTCACTCCCCTTCGATACAACGAAAAGAATCGACGCGGCGTACCTAAGCACCGAGTGGCACGTCACGCGATTCCGCAAGGTTCCACCGATATTACCATTATTATTACTATTATTACTACTACTACTACTATTATTATTATTATTATTATTATTATTATTATTTTTATTAGACGTGCGAGATTTATCCATCTCTCTCTTTTTCGTAAATTATTTATTATTGATTTGGTCCGAGAATAAGAGGAAATAAAAAGTCGCGCCAAGAGAGAGATAGAGAGAGATGGAGAAAAACTCTTATCTAATGGGTGAATGAAAACGTCTTATTGGCGAAGAGTAGTATAGAGTAGTAAAGTCACGTCACGCTTGATAAACCTTGTGTTCTACATTCCGAATTAATCTTCATCAGGCGCAGCGCGCTGCGCTCTCGTTCGGCGTATCTTCTTCGTTTTTTTTTTCTCCCTCTTGCTCGTGTCGGTCGCGTGGGCGCGCCCGCGTGTGCGTACGTGCGTGTGTGCATGTGTGCGTGTGAGCACATTTTCTCGACGATTACGACGATCGATTGTACAGATTGTATACCAACTTCTCAATTTTTGTAGTGCCATGAGATTCATTCTGAGCGCCTTCGTTGTATAATCAGCCGATTCTCAATAAAATATCATGATTCTGTTTTTTATGTCACATATATTATAAATTTGTTTTTGGTTCTCTCTGCATTGTTATCTGTCTATCATTATTTCTCCTCGCTCATTCCTCGTGACCACCCTTGATTCTATCCTTTCGATGACATACGCGTCAAGCGAAATACACGCATGCTTCTGTTCACCTCGGACATTTTCAACGCGCCACTGCTGCAGTAAAAGAAAGAGACGAAATCACCGATCGACGAATCGGCGCGATTTCACGCGCGCATCGTCGAAAGCGAATCTCCCCACAGTAGAGCGCTATGAATATCGGCGATCGCGTGCTCGGCGAGTCAGTCGAGCGGCGAAGAAGCACTTCCATTGCACAGAACCGGAAGTGCCTGTCGTCCACGAGCGCCAGCAGCCGGCCGAAAAGAAGGCGGCGGGAGGGGGGGGGGGGGGCGTCAAGGTCGGGCGTGAAAATTGGCGCCTCGTCAATGGAAAATAAAAACCAGGCCACGCTTCCGTTCTCCGCGAACGAAAGCACCCCAGTTTCTTCCCCGTCGAGCGTCGTGGCTGCGCCGACGCGCGTGCGACGCGTCCTTGAAGCGCGCGATCGGCGCACGCACGACGCCCGAAGGTCGCGCGACTCGATTCGCCGAGTCGTCGCGATCGACGGCTACCTGTTCGCCCCGGCGGAGCTGCAGCGGAGCGCGCGCGCGAGCCCAAGTTCAAAGTCGGCGTCGAGAGCGGCTCAGCCTTGGCCCACTTGGGCTCGCGCTCGCTCGGCGGCGGCGCGGGGAAACCCTGCAGGACGGCGGACGGGCGCGTTGCGCAACCGGCCGCCCCGCGCCCTCCGCGGCCATCGCGATCGATCGCCCGCGGGCCGCCGTCTCCTAAGGTGAAGGCTGCGCGAGAGTCGAAAATAGGATCGGGACGACGCCGCGAGGGCCTCGCCGAGGGGACGGGCGGCGAAACCGGTCGCGTCGTCCCTCTCGGCTCGCCGACGCCCGCGCGAGCGTCTCTCTCGATCAACCTTCTCCAGCTTGCGCGCCGATCGCAAAGGCGAGCGCTCGTTCTCTCGCTCTTTGTTTTCGCGACACGCATATCTGCATTGCCAGGTCTTTCTCGTTCCTCGCGTCCAAGCTCGATCAGTGTCATTGACGAACGATCATCGGCGCTCATTTCTTCACACCGATCAAAATGCAATTTTCTCTCTCTCTCTCTCTCTCTCTCTCTCTCTTCTCACTCGTCTGATAATTCCACTATTAGATCTATGTATTATATGTATAACGTTGGTTTTTCCTGGAGCATATAAGGCAAATGCGCAAGATTATGCGGCTGGAGCGAGAGATGATCCCCCAACCCGCATCCGCAAGCCAGCACAAGGTTGTAAAAAGACAATGAAAGCAAAAAAAAGAGAAAGAAACTAACGTCGCATGGTCGCCGGGGCTTTTTATATACGGGGGAAGCGACCGGCGTGTTGGCAGTGTGGTTAGCTGGTTGTGTTGCTTTTATGAAATCACGACCGCTATCGGCACTGCAATTATGACGGTCGCGTGTCAACGGGCCTAAAACTTGCCGGATGGTTCAGCTCCGATAATGATTTCGACACTGATGTCTATGCATTTATAAAGAACAATAGCCGTGCGTTTTCGCTCCCCGAGACCGGACGCTCAACGAATCCTCTGCTTTCGTTTTGCAGGTCGGCCTACGTGTCGTTCGGCGGACTGCTGATGCGGTTGCAGGGCGACGCCAACAATCTGCACGGCTTCGAGATCGACCAGCACATGTACCTGCTGATGAAGAAATTGGCATTCTAGAGGGTCCGATCGTCGGCTCTGCCTTGGCTCTCTGCCTTTCCGTCTTACCGATCAAGGATTTTTCGACCCAACTCCGGAGAGCCTACCGGCGATCTAGCTTCTCCTTCTGCATTTCTTTTTACTTTTGTACGAATAAAAAACAGCTGCGAGTTTAATTTTATTAAAGACAATTGAAGCGAGCGTGCATGTGATCGTAGAACCAGATGAGATTCGCATTTATCGTAGACCCTGAGTTTACCGTTCCAGTCAATTGGAATACGCTATTTTCTTCCATGAACCATCGCGAACGTGCCTCGAAAGCCAAAGCCACTGCCACACCTAGCGGATAAGAAAAAAATCTACTTCTTTTGTATAATGTATAATGTAACGAAAAGCTAAAACTAGAATAAAACTATGAAGAAACAAAGCAACGTCTGTCTATTTTCCCATCGAGCGTCATCGCGAAGGAAAACCGCGTGGCGCGCGCGTCGCTCGCAATGGGCGTTCGCGTTGCTGCAACTCGCTGCTCCGACGGATTTACATAATAAGCTAATTGCCTCGCGCGCTCCCGGAGAGGAGAGAAACGGCTGCGCCTCGATCGGCGTATAACGAGCGCGAGAGACCACGAGGTGAGAAGCCCGAAGGTCCCATTGATCGCGCGGCAGCCGTCGGCGTCGTCGCAGCCGATGCGCTTATTTCGGGCGGCCGCGGGTCCCTTGCCGGGGCAAGTCTGTGGCCGTTCAATTGCGTAACGCCGTCGGCATCGAGTGTCGGGCAGCAGCGAGAGCCAAGTGGAGCGCGAGGCGGCTGCTCGTCCTCCTCCGCAACGGCGCGACCTTGCCGAGCGTGCCGAAAGCTCCCCGAGGCGGCGATAGACAACTGATCGCCCTTGCGAAGTGACTTTGCGTTTCGAAGCGAGAGAGCGTGCTCGTCTCGGCAACGGTACGGGAGCGCGCGTCCGTCGGAGTCAGGCGCGACTAAACGAGTAAATTTATGTAATTAAACTCGCGACGGCGCAACTGACCTTGTACGGGCGAGCGCGCGTGGGCGCAGGCGCGCGCACCGCGATGCACCGGCGGCTGGCCAAGATGGCGAGCGGCCCAGCAGTTGCGTAACCACCCCCTTCCCGCCGCGCTGCAGCGCGCGCGTACGTAGATGAGCTGCCGCCGCCGCTGCAACATGGCCGCTTTAATAAGAGGCTGATCCTAAATAGATTGGTCCGATGACGTGGGCTACCAACGAGGGCGGGGCTCTAGTCGCGGGCTTCGCCAACGGCGCAAGCTCCTCCGCGGTTTCCCGTTTCGTTTGGCGGATTAGCGCGACTTTGTCCTTTTCGCTTGTTTCGGGAAAGCTTCCACGGTGAGGCGGACCAGCGGATGAAAATTGACCCGCTCGGCGTTGACGATTAGCATTCACGAGCGCATACCTTTCGACGTATGCACGCGCGGACACGCGAGCATACGTAACCAACAAATTTGCACGTCAAGTCGAAGGCAACGCGAGCTTTCTCGCTCGGACCGTTTAATTTAGAAATTGCATTCGCGATGAAGAAGGTATATCACGAAGGCTTGGCGCCTCGACAGCTTCGTTACGTTGCAATTTGCGCTTTCGCAGCTTTTCTGTAGTTTCCTAACGCACGTCGCCGAGATCGTAAAGTCTGATTCATAAAAATTAACAGGCCTCGACAGCCGTAAATGTACTCCCGTCTCGGAGCGACAATCCATGGGAACGTTGCTGTGTGCATTCTTCATGAATTATTTATCTTTCCACACTACGAAATGTCGCGTATTATAAGCTTGTCGTTGTACGTGTTTTCGAATTGATTTGTCATTGGTATTACCTGCGTGAGATTGTAATTTAAAAAAAAAAAAAAAATTAACTCGAGCTTTTGTTCGGATATGTTAATACGGAATATAAGGCACTGCAACACGTGACGCGTCGATACGTCATAGCCAATGCGTCGATTTTTATTCGCGATCGAGCCCGCAATACGGAACAGGCCGGTGCGCGCTGCCATGCGCACATGCGCACTTGAATCTGAATAACAATGCTGGCGGATTTTTCGCTTTTTCTTTATAGCTTTATTTATCAAGCTAATGTAATCGCATGACATTCTTGCGACGCTTCACTTATCTATATTGGAACAAGTCAGTTGGCTCGAACGGTTGGAAAGGTTTGATGTGCAATGCGAGCATCGCGCACATACTCGAGCTTTCGTCTGACATCGATTTTTCAAAAACATCGTGAATACGTTGGGAATTCGATGGAAAGGCTTTAGGAGGGAGATGAGTAACTTGCTTTGAGAATTAGAAAATGTGATTGAATGACTGAGCGACAGTAAATGTTAGGTCACACCTTAATATATGAATATACGAACACGCAGACAACTGTTATGCAAAGAACTTGGACTGAAGGTGGAGAAGCTATCTTAGTTGCCCGAGTTTTCTCGATTGTAAACTCTTTTTTTTTTCTTAATTTTCCGTCGAACCCGATAAATTTCTTCATTTACACAACAATTTATATTAATAAAAATGTTAATATACACAAGTATTGTTTTCAAAACTATTTACAAAAAAACAATAAGATCGAATGAACAAACGACTATAAAATACATCGCCGTGATCCGTTTCCATGCACCATTGAATCATTGTCCTATTATTCCCATTAATATTCATAGCCATAGCAATTGATGCTCTCTACTATTGTTATTACAGGCAATGAATCAATGAAAAAATATACCGATGAATTTTTTTAATTTATTCAATCGCTGTGCAACTTTCAATTGCAATACTTATATTGATATTGAATTTTTTGATTTGTTATTTTATTGTTCAAATTGATGTACGACAACTAGGAAATCTAGTTTACCATTAGAAGATATATTAACGGTGGTATCGTGACTCGGCTCTCTGGAACAGATTACCGAGAAGCGTCTAGTAACGATTGCTCAAACTCAACCGATAGGTTTTTTAAAGCTGCTTTTCAAGAATTTTTTCGTTCAATGAGAATGTAAGACAATCTGTTACGCATTCATCATCGACCATCGAAACATCGAATCGTTTCAATTTTCATAAATACAATTTGATGTTCCAGTAAGCATAATATTACTCTTGAGTTTTTGCGTTTTTGGGTAAAATTAGCGAAAACAACGAATGGAAATTCATGCTAATTCGGATGTATTACCTAACTCGTATATCCAAAACTGCATCTGCAGTTCTGGAATAGAAATGTAGGGCCATAAATATTCAAGTATGAAACATAATAAAATAATATTAATTACATTGTTTATTCTATGCTCATCAACGATAAAACCAATTACGTAGATGACTAAAAATGAATTCTAATGAGTAAAGTTGCTCTAAGAGCGGTTCAATTCTCATCTTTAAACATTACTTAAACAGAGGTGTCATTGTGGCGATTTTATATCGCACCGATTTCATTATCAAAGGACGTTAAGTATTTATCTATTTGTTTGTTCGAAAACTTCAAGTTGAAAAAAAGAAAATATGTTTTCGTTGGAGAGAATTATAAATATAATATTTTCTTTAGTCGAATATAATGTCTGTACTAATGACGTGCAATAAAACTCAGAGCTAAATCCCACCAATTCGTTCAAATTTTGAGAAATGATTTGAAATTTATTAGAAAGAAGATCTGCCTAGATCGTTGAAAGTATTAGGAAATAAATTAAATGTAGAGAATGACGAAGCATGTTTTGTACAAACATGCAAATCTTAGATTTCGTTAATCTTTCGTTAAATGTTAGCTTTCGAATATGCTTAAGAGAAGTTGGATGGCTATGTTTTATATAAACTTCGACCTTTTATTTTATAAAAATATTAATTTTAAAAATGGGGGTAGAGTAAACAGAAATTTAAAGTACTGAGTTATTGTATTCTTTTAACTGGAAGCTTAATAAATTCATAATGGAGATTTTCGAACGATTTAGACATAGATTATTAAATTTGAATTTGACAAAATGACATTTCTTAACTGACAAGTGTGAATATTTTATCGCTTATGAAATCGGCTGAAAATTGCAAAATTCGATATAACGTTATTGTTATTGCTTAATATTGAAGCAATCAAACTTATGTTTTAAGAAATATTTATTATAAATTCTTTCATTTAAAAACTAATTTTACATTGTAATTGATGTTTCAATAATATCATTTATAAATGGCATAAAAACATTCGTAAAATAAAGAAAAATCAAGGATCTATCAAATTATACAACTTACGATAAAACTTAATTTTTTTTCAAATTTGAATTAAGTGGATATGTCAAAATAAATAACAAAGTTCAACAACAACTTTGCACTTGACGATCTCAGTCAAAGAGGACGTTGACAATCTCGTGAAAATTGGAATTGAATGAAAAAGTTTGCTGATGGTACTTTACTTCATGGTAAACGGTTTGACAATAACTTCTTCAGATTGACGTTGATGCACTTGACCTATGCCAACCGCTGACGTAGGTAGAACTTCCCGTCCACAATAGCGTATCTAGAACAAAAACAGGACATGTTTTTTATGTGACATTCAAATAAAGATGAATAAATAGAAAAATCAGGTATTACGTACTTTGCGACCACACAAGTTTTCGAATCGAGGCTTGATGAATGTCCATGCACCCATATTTTGAGGCTCCTCTTGACTCCAAATAAAAGCTACAAATACACATTTATTTATTTACACGAAACACATGAAATCGATATTATTCTAGTTTTCATGAGAATAATAAACAAAAGGAGGCGTACTTTCCGCATTTGAATACTTTTGCAGTTCTTCATTGATTTCAAGTACTGGGAATGGACACAAACTTTCAACTCTGACAATAGCCGTATGTTGCAGTCCGAGAGTTGCTCTGTGTTTTTCGAGGGCATAATAATGTTTTCCACTGACTAGTATCACTCTGCGAACTGAATTTCCGTTGATCTTGTCATCTCCTGAAATAAAATTCAATAGCTAGGTATCGTAGCTTTTCCAATCAATTGCCATTATTGCTGTCGTTAAATTTACCTATAACGGGCTTGAAACTGGTGTTCGGAGCTAATTCTTCCAACGAGGACAGAGCCGATGGATGGCGAAGTAACGTTTTCGGTGAAACGATTATCAACGGTTTTCTAAAGTTTCTGACCATCTGCAACCATTGAAAAAAGGCTTAATTTTTGTAAAAATGAAAATTCCCTCGTTGAAATCTATTGCTCCTTTACCTGGCGCCTAAGCAAGTGGAAGTACTGTGCCGGAGTCGTCGGGTTGACAACTTGCATATTGATATCATCCCCGTCAGGCTTATCCTCCTTGCTGTCGGTCAACTGCAGGAATCGTTCGAACTTGCTGGAACTGTGCTCAGGTCCAGCACCATCGTAGCCATGAGGTAGAATCATAACGAGACCACTAGCAGTCATCCACTTTGCTTCACCACTGCTAACGAATGTGTCGATAATGATTTGTGCGCCGTTGAAAAAATCACCGAACTGCGCTTCCCAGATTGGTAGCATGTTCGGTAAAGTTATGCTCATGCCGTACTCGAAACCCAAAACTGCCTCTTCGGAGAGTATGCTGTTGGCGATTTCCAGCTTACCCGTCTGGCCTTCCACCATTGAATTCAACGGTATGTACATTTCTAAAAATAACGAAGAAACGTTGTAACTGAGCTAGGGGGCGAAAAATCTCATTCAAGTTTGTCCAAATCACGCACCTCCTGTAGTTTGATCGACGAGCATAGCGTGCCTGTGCGAAAAGGTAGCACGACCAACGTCCTGGCCGCTTATTCGTACGTCGTAACCTTGGTACATGAGGCTACCAAAAGCCATCGCTTCGGCAGTCGACCAGTCGATAGTCTTGCCACCGCGCTCGAGCTTCTGTAGCCTGGCTTGGACGTGACTCTTGAGGATCGTCGGATGCACATCCTAACAACACACGCGCATTCTCATGATTTTAAAAGGCCAGCCACTCAAACATTGTTCTGAAATTGGACGAGTGTGATATTTGGAATTACCAGAGCAGCTGGATAGCGCACGCTCTTTTCGGCAACGAACCTCAGAAGATTCGCGTCTACGCCAGTGTCCCAGATGGTAAGCGAATGAGCAGCTTGTTGAAGCTGGCTCCAACGACCTTTGAAGTACGTTCGTTCTGGCTCGTAACTGTCGGCCTTTCGAAGAGACTCGTTGAGCTTGGCCGTGTGTCGCTCGCTAATCGCTGCTCCTTGCTCCTCTGTCATCACGTTCGACTCGATCAGCTTGTCCAGGTAGCGGTCGGGAATCGACCTACGGTCAAGAAGTTGTTAAGTTTCATATTGTATTAGCAATTGCAGAGACAATTCTATTGATTGGCTTACGGCCGATTGCGAATGATTTTGTAGGTGAGAGGACTGGTAAAAGTCGGGTCATCAAGTTCATTGTGACCCCAGCGTCTGAAGCAATTCAGGTCCACAAAAACGTCTTTCCTGAAGTTCCTCTGGTAGTTGAAAGCCAGCCTCGTAGCTTTCACGACCATCTGACAAGCGAAAACTTTGACTCATCCAAATAAATCGAGAAGTTTTGGACGATAAATTCACTTCACCTCTGGATCATCGCCGTTGACGTGAATCTGAGGCGCCGAAACGAACTTGGCGATGTCCGTGCAATACCTCGACGATCGACCCCTCGCAGCAGGAGTAGTGAAACCAATCTGATTGTTTACCACCAGATGAATCGAGCCACCAATTTCGAAGTTGGGCGCGGCACTGAGCGCCAAGCACTCCTGATTGACGCCTTGGGCTACGCAAGCCGCGTCGCCGTGCACTTGCACGTTGACGGTCCGATCGCTCCACTGCGAGCCTCTATCTTCCGAGTAAGCGCCCTCCTTGCGGAGCTGCATGAGCGCCCGTGTTCGGCCCATCGCTACGGGGTTGACAGCTTCGAGGTGCGACGGATTGTGCGGCATGCTCACTTGAATCTGGCGAGCGCCGATGGTCAAGCCCGTCGAGGAGACGAAATGACTGATGACGTCGCCGGTCGCTTTCGCGTCCGCCGGGAATTCGGGCAGCCCCCGCAGCTTGCGGAAGAGCTTCTCCGACGGGAATTTCAACATGCCCGTGAGAAAGTTGAGCCGGCCGCGATGCGGCATGCAGAGCACCAACTCGTCCAGCGCATCTGCGAGGAACGTGAAACGCCGTTATTTCTCGCGCACGCGTCGGGCCGATCGGCCGAGCGAGACATTGCGAAGGGGCGCACCGTGAGCCGACAACCTGAAGAGTTCGTGAAAGAAGGCCATCATGCTCTCGGCGCCCTCGGCACCGTAACGCTTCACGCTGACGAACTTGACGCCGAGGAATTTGTCGAAGGCTTGGCTCTTGAGCATCTCCTTGGCGATCGCACGCCTCGTCTCGTCGCAGAGAGCCTCGTTATGGCATTGCTCGAAATTCCTCGCAAACCACTCGCGCTCCTCCTCGCTCTGCGACCCAGGCGCAAGCTCCTTAATGAAATATCTCGACCGCGCGAGTAGGGGAACGGGGGGGAGGGGGCGGGGCGAAATCGATCGGACGCGTCGGCATCGCGAAAGCTTAGCCCCGCCGTGGTGGGCGATTCACGAGCAAACGTTCAAATGCAACTGTCACCTCCAAGTAAGCGAACTCCGCCGACATGGCGCCGCTGTACATCCGATCGAGAAGGTCGAGGGCCTCGGCAACGGTGGCGTCCCGCTCGCGGCAGTGCAGCAAGCCTCGCAGGCGCACGCCGTCGCTCAGCCGCAAGCCAAAGCGCTCGGGTCGCAGCTCGGCCAGCGCTCGCGGCCTTCTCAGGGCGATCGGGTTCACGTCCGCCTGCTTGTGGCCGTGCTCGCGATAAGCGGCGAGCAGCCTGTAAAAGTTGCTGTTCTCCGCTCGCGCGCGCAGCTCCTCGGGCGGCACTGCAACCGGAGCAAATTGCCGCGGTCACTCGTCGGGGCGCCGTCTCCGCCGTGTACCTGCCTTCGTATCGCCTTGGAGCTCCGTCGCGGTGCCCGTAGACGCCCGAGCCGCTGTGGTACGGTCGTCGTCCTCGCGGCTCGAGCACGGCCCTCCAGCGGTCGCCGGTCTCGCGGCCGCCTCTCGACGCCAGCCTCGCGGTTCGGTACATCTCGAACGAGCGCTCGCGCGCAACCCACTGCGGACGGAAGCCTCGAAGGCCTCCCAGCCAATGAACGTACAGATACGCCGCTACACTACGACATGCTCCGCTCTTATCCTCTTATCTGTTTACTGGCGATGATTGACGGAGCTGCTCGGCCGTCTCCTCCGCGTTGCTCCAGCGAGGCCTGCCCGACCGATCCGCCGAAATGCGGTCTTTTACGTAAGCGCGTGCCTCGAGTCTTCTCTTCTCCGCGTAGACCGTGGCGGTAGCGCGTCGTTCCGTTGCTCGTTGTTTTCGTTTTCTTCCTTCTCGCCGCGTCGTTCCATTTGACGGCGCTGATAGGCAGAGCAGCACGCCCCACTCGGCTGAGTCACTCTGCTAACTACATAAACGCAAAGCCGAGCTAATAACCGATGTACAGTCTCCACCGATGCAGATTACGTTTTCCCAAAGTTGTTTACTTGCTCGTTTGCGGGAGGCTTTTCTCGAAAATAACCATCTACTTATCTGCTCTGCGCGCGCACGTGTGTTGTACACATTTTCGTCATAGCTTTACTGATGAGCGATAGGAAATTGGAATTCAAGTATACACGAGTATCTTAGTTTATGTCACCTGATTTTTGTTTTTATTAATCTCATTGTGATCACAGATTGTTTTTTGCATTTTTCACTGTCACTCGTAATTTGTTTGTTAAATTGTGTATTCACGTATCGACGTGACGTTTAAAAATAATAGCACTAAACCTAACGGAATACAAAAAAAAAAAAAAACAGCGGTGATGTTTTTTCATATATATCAAAGTTTTCTCAACAGTCATGGCATTGCTTAGAAAAAAAAATGAAAAAAAAAGAACCTAAACTAAGAAAAATAAATTTCAAATCTCGGGATAAGCCGAGCCAATGAGATTCTTGCCGCGATAGCGGAATGGGTGTGTCATAATGTTGAACTTTTGACCGGCGAGCGATACCGGGCAATGAGTGTCAGGGCGCGCGTAGAAGCAAACGGTGTAGAGTGCCATTTCGAGCTCGGGCGAGGTGCCGACGAACAGATCCGTCACCGGCTTGTCGATACCGTTGTACTTGACGTGCGCCTTCACGACCGCTGCTTTCTGTAACACACGCGATCGTAGAGGCATTACTTTAACGACGCACCGTTAGGAGCGAGGAACACGGCATCCCGCGCCACGGTGAACGAACGGCAAGGAAGAAAAACAAACGAGAACTACTCACGTCGCCTAGATCGAGTTTCTTCACGTATCCAAGGTAATCCAATTTCTTCTTCAATTCCTCGGCGTTGAAGTAAATCCAGTTGTGCAGTCCCGACACCTCCGTTCCCAGTTTCAGCTCGGTCAAGAACACGTGCTCGAATCCCGAGCTGGTGATCTTACCGTCGCCCCTGGAGTAGAGATCGAACCAAAGCGAGCGCAACTTGTCCTTGTAGTCGTAATAATCCTTCTTCAGGAAATTCTTGTCGGCGAGGAATCTCATCGCAGCGGACATGACGTTGGTACTGAGGAAAGTGTCGATCAGAAGACTTTCCTCCTGACGTTGGGCCGGATTGATGTGCTCGCGCTCGCGGGTGTCCGCTTTGTAATTGTCGTGGATGCTGAGCACTCGCTGGATCGTTGGGATCTGCAGTGCCTCGGGCTTCACTTGCAGCAACCTGCAAGCCGATCGACCGTCCGTTGACTCGCGGACTCGAATACACGAGTATACACGGGAGTCAAGCCGACTCACGGTTGAGGAGCCTCGTCCTTGGGACTGCTTCCGCTGGTTTGCTTTTGAAGATTCAGCGTGATGTATCCGTTGGCATTGTTCGCGTCCTTCATGAACAAAGCCTCCGACAATTTCTCGAGATCCTCGTCAGTGACGGTGTTGCCTTGGCTGTAGGTCGGATTCCTCGAGTACGTCTTACCCGAGGTACGGCTCGTTGCGCCGCTGTTTGGCCGTGGATAATCTGAAATTCGCGGCAATATCCATCGTTAACGAGACTCGTTCGACCACAAGTCAATCGTTTTTTTCGATCTGCGCGCACTAATTTATACTCGTGGCATTCTTTTATTTGCATACAAACAAGGCAATTACACGGCAACTTCGCGGTGTCTCAAAGGATTTTCCGCTCTTGGCGTTTTACTCGCGACGATAACGATCAACGTAGCCGTCCGACAAAAGTGCCATTCGAACGAAAATTATTGCTACTTGGTAGCGCGTACTTTTTGCCGTAATCGACACTTCTGTGACTCGGCAAGAAAACCTACCGAATCTACTCGCAGACGGTGAGCTTGGCTTGGGTGCAGGTGTGGCTGGGTGCTGACCAAAACCATTGCCGTCTTTACCGGCAACCTCGGCCCAACTCTTTCCTCCCGTGGGAGAAGTTGGCGTTGCCGAGTGTCCGGTCGGACTCAGTGGTGGGAAGCCACCGTGGATCGGCTGCTGTGGAATTCTCACGGTGGGCTTCCGCGAGAGCGGCGTAGTTGACGAGCGAACTGTTGCCGGTGTACGATGAGTTGTCGAAGATCCGTGAATGGATATTGGATGACTAACTGTCGAATAACAAATGCCATTGTATTGGATATTTGTGCGTTACATTGAAATTTGAGCTTTGTCGCGCTCACTTGGTGTCGTGGCTACCGATGGCATTTGTCCAGGAACAGGCGTCGGTCTGTTACCTAATAAAAGAGAACGATCGGTTGTCAGACAAAGATGTAAAAGTGATTATTGCGTCGTTCAAGCTCTTCAAACATCGACCAGCTTCCACGAATGAGATCGTGTCGTAACGCCAACCGAGCGGAAAGCCGCGAACGTCGCGCTGTTTTACCTGGCAATTGCGTCCCACCGGGAGAAAGTGCCGGACCCTGAGCCGGCAACTTGGGACTTTGTCTGCCAGGCTCGCCGGCGCCAGCAATGTCAGCAGCCCAGTCTCGGTAATTAGTGTGGCTTCCGGTCGGACTTCCAGGTGGCATGGGCTTTGGTGGGCTGATGTCCCAACCGACCTCTGTTCCCGGTGCAGGCGGTCGAGCTCCATTTCTGAGTTGCTGTCCATTGCTACCAACGCCGATTGCCAAAGATGCATCGGCTGCCGCGGCGATTCCTTGCTTCGGGTTCACTGTCCTCTTTTGCGTTGGGATGGGCACAGGCTGCGACTGGACGGTGGACGGCGTCGGCGGCGGTGATGCTGTGGTGGACGGCGCCGCGGTGGTTGTTTCCTTTTTCCAGAACTTCCAACCGGCGTCGACGTCTACGGACGGCAGAGGATATGCACGATGATATCGCTCGCAGCGCAGTGATAAGATTAACGCGTAGACATTATTACGACATTGAATAATTGCCGATGCCCTATCGAAATCTAGGTCAAACTTTTTTTTTCGCCAATTCACATATGCTTCTTCGATTATTGATAACAACATATTGTAATGCGTTCCGATGATTTACTTGGCGGCCTAAATCGCCTGTTTTTTTCTGCCGATGAATCATTCAAGACGTAATTGACGTCGATGCAGAAAATCGTTTTGAAGAGAGGTAAACGTTGCACCTTTGTGCGACTGTTCATTTAGAAACTCGTACTGTAGCGAAGATGCGAAGGCGATAAAAAGGTAAGGTACCATTGAAGTTTGTCATATTCGTAGCTTGAACGTTTGTTAATTCGAATTCCACGAAGCGCTGACCTTCGCTCGCACTGTGGTGTGGGCAAGGTTGCGGGCTCAAGACTACTCGTACAAGTGGAATGCATTTATCAAACGAAACGAAACTGTCCGCGCAAGGAGACTGCTGTCTGTGTATGCTTTCTTAGTTGAACGCAGGCGACGAGCTAGGAGCTGCCAGGAGAGGAAACTAGTTTTGAATATTTTTGTTCACGCATCGAACGGGTTTGGCGCATCGTCCCTGAGCCTTCGATGTTCAAACGCGTAAACCACGTCAGTGTCGTTCTCTAGCAATATAACAAGCGCGTTTCAAACGAGACGTACAAGTCGTACGCGAATCGCGCCCGAGAAAATGATAATTCGGCGAATGGTCGCGGCACTCGTATCGTCGACGATCCGCCTCGAACTCACCGGCAACCAGCACCGCCAGCGACACCAACAAAATCAGGAAGCAGACGTTTCTCATGCTTGCGACCAACTCGAGCGCCTTCCCGTGATCGACTGACTGGTCGGACGCGCGGCGCCGCGAGCGTGAAAGCCGCTCTCCCGAGATGTGTGTGCGTGTGTACGCGAGACCCAAGTAAAGCCCAAGATGCGATAGACGCGCGTACGCGCGAACTGTCGCAGTGCCGTGGCGATGATGTCACTGTTTTGCTCCCCTACGCGCTCAAGGACTACGCGGCGTCTCGACGCTTGTTTTCGTGTCCGGCGGATATCGACCGAGAGACGTTAGTTGAATATTTACACCACTGGCAAACACACTCGAATATTTCCGATCGCTGGGATCAAGCGCGGTCCAGCTGGATTGCTTATAGCATTCGAATAGTCAAACGATTACTCACGAGACCGATGTCTTTGAGGAAAGGTAAAAGCTTTCCAAGAATGTTCACTCGTAGAATCGTTCGGTGTGGAATTTTTTGTTTTTTTATCAAATGTTTTGTCCGTTTTATCGGGCGCACATGCCTACGCTGGTAAGCCGCACATCGTTTGATAAGCACGAAACCTACGCTATCTCGGTTCCTCGTGTACTTAACCTTCGCTATGTTTTTATGGCGGTGTACAATCGTAAGCGAATCAAACAATCCAATCGGAAGTTTAACGACTATTTATTTACAATGCGGCGAGAGTGAACATGCCAGTGTCAAGCGTTCACAAATGGAAAATAAACAGCTGCCCACACAATCAAAAGTATCACTAGGGCAATCGTGCACTTCGTTTGAAAACCATCCCATCCGACGATACTGTATCTACGGGCTTTGACTTGAGGTGCCGCCAGCGCGTCACTTCCCTGTTTTTAAAGTTCCCTGTTTTTAAATCATCGTACGAAGATCAATTTCTTTCAAGCTCAAACCTTGCATTCTCCTTCGAATTCGCTGCATTCGACTTTGAGCTTATCGTAACTGCGTAACGAACGCATCTCTATTTCGGTAGTTTTATCTCGGGTCGATTGCGTCCACTGACTTTTTGTCGAGGGAGAATAGTTCAATGTTATGCCAGATGGACGGGACTCTGTTACGATTTCACTGTAGTAATTGTCGCTTATGTCAATGTCTAATTTTGTGTCGTTTTCGCTTCTTTGAGCTAACTCTGGTCGGAAAAGTTGGTCATGACAGGTTTTTGCAACGCCATTTCTATCATTTTATTGGATACTTTACCTATGTCGGTATTTTGATTTTCGGAAATTCTGACGATTTGAAATACTCATCAAGGCATCGAGTGAAGTTTCACGATGTATCTTTGGAATAACCAAATTATCTTTATTGTCTGTCAACAACGAAGTAGTAACTTAAAAAATCTCTAACCTCGTGAATCCGTTAATCAATACTGTGATAGCCATTTGAATTTATAAACAAAAAGTAAAAAAAAACAAATGAACATTACAAACAAATAGTCTTTCGCTTTCTTGTATATTTAGTACACACTGTTGTGTTTACTATTTCAAGTCTCAGTCTTAGTCATTTGACTATTAGATAATATACGGAAGAATGGATTACAAAAAAAAATTACGTAAACGTTGATATATAAATATAATTGTTTATTGTACCCGCCAACAAATTTTTTAAAAAAGGTATGCTTGTAAAATACTTCAAAAATTCTGCTGTATAAATTTATACAAATCGGAGATAAAACGGAAGTATTACTTTGTTCGAATGTAACTAATTTAAAAGCAAGGCGTTTAAAATATTTACAATCGCACCATGTGTAAACTAAAGAATTATATTAAATTGATATTGAAAAACCACCGGTAAACTTATCTTTTGATCTATAACTTTCAAGTAAAAACTACTTTTATAGTGCATATTTTTAACAAATCTTAAAACTTGCTTAGGTAAGAAGGTAAAAATAAATGTCATAGACAACATAATCGGCGATTCGCAGTGACTTAATAAATAAAAATCTAAATGCATTCATAGCATTACCATCATCGTGAAAATGCTTATACCGCAAACATTAGTAACGGTTCTCATAATATCTTTTGGTTTTCGACGCGATTCTTTTAACGCGCGGTTTAGGGCTAATTTTCCAGAAAAATACGCATTTCCAAGCAACGTTTCACCGTATAAAAGGCAAAATTTTCAACTGTACAGTTACAGCGGAAAATCAGAGTTATTTCAGAAATGTACCGCACACGTGAACGCAAATCGAGCCCGTTACAATAACATCTCAAAGTGATTTTAACGGGCTGTTCAGGCCGAAGCGACGAACTAACAATTGCACAATCGTTCGTTACTCGTCTGATTTCGTGCATAACATTGTTTGCGTTGCGATTCACAGTTACTTCGTTTCTCTTGTTTTGCCCATAATCCTCTAGGCGAACTCAACTTCTGTTACCACACACTAGCCGGCGCATTAGTCATTTGTTGATTTAACAATTAACATCCTTCCAATACATTACAATATTTTCTCTCAGCCTCTCACTCCGCGTACACACAGACTCGGATAATATATCAGCTCTCTTCGATCAGTCACGTTCAACAGAAGGAAGGTATCACTTTTGGCCGTTGAAATCACAAAACTTCGTACTGAGTGAGAAGCACGTAGACGATGATCCAGACGATGAAAGCGAATATGATAGAGACGAGAAAGATGGTCTTGAGGTAATGCCATGGATTTTCAATCCTATGATGCGGCGGTCGTAACCCGTGTGCTTTGCATGCTCCGTTGTGGCAAGCAACACCAGCGCGACTTCCAGATGGCGGACTACTGCTTGTTTCGTGTACAGAACTCTTCAGCACACCCAATTCGGTCTCGTGGATCGCTCGAGTATTTGAGCACTGCTTCGGCGGCAGATCGCCGCAGCTGAACCTTCCCTCGCTCTCCATCTGCAGGTTTCAAACATGCTATCGTTAGGAACAGAGTCAAATTGGCGCGAAAAGCCAAATGGTACACGAGATAATGCATTAACGAGTGATACTCAAAGATGATTAATATGGCAGTTGCGTGTTGGTAGGATAACCGAATATTTGAGTACTAACAAATCTTTGTTTTATTGGAAGGTCTATGAAGAATGGAATGGACACGTCTCAAGAAAAAGCACATTAATCACTTTATTGCCAGCGACGAAATTACTCGACACTTGCACGAATCGCGATAAGAAAAACTAAATTATCTCGGTGACAGTAATATTACCAGTGAGCACAAATTTTAGCGATAACAAGACAAGTAATTTGCTTTTTCCTTCACGACAAATCTCATCTGTAATTTACCTGTGCACTTTCAAACGCACGTCGCGCGAAAAATTAAATCGCACCGCACAGCTTAACTCGCTTTTCAGTTCCCTTTTCAAGGCCGAGCGAAAATGAAAAAAAAAAGAAAAAAATTTCCTCGCCGATACTTTTCGCCGAGAAGCGCGTTTGAGCACCGGGCTCGCGGTTGGACTTTCATTTTTCTTCGGCTGCTCTCGCCAGTAGCCGCGAAGCGTAAACACAGCGGTGCGCGCGCTGATTCGTCGTCGTCGACGTTGTATCTAAAGGCGAGTCGATGCGCGCGCGATCGCCCGCTGAAGCGCGGATATGTATTCTTTTTATCGTCGACCCTTGATCTCTCTCTCTCTCTCTCTTGTTCGTTTGCTCGCTCGTTTACCTTCACACGCGTCGACATGCGGTACGCTCTAATGCGACCTGCAGCAACGCCGCGCCAGAGTTAACTCTCTGTCGACTGCGCTCGCGTGTACATATGTGCACGTGCGCACTTACGTAATTTATATCACTGGGGGCCATGTTTAAATCTCCCAGCGCGCCAAGCTGCGGAAGCAGGAAGTTGGCGACGGCATCGCCGTCCGAGCTGTTTCATTTCTTTGGGCGCAACGGAGTTGTTGGAGCGAGGATTTCGAGGAGCCGGTTGCCAAAGATTCTCGGCGAGAGCGCGCGGCTGCGCCGCGAGAGGATCGCGGCTTTCGCGAAATCGCGATTCGTTGTCTCGAGCGGGCGCGAAAAACTCTGGCTTACCCAACGCAACGACGGCGCGCAACGCGAGAGCGGCATTGCAAAGTAAAAATCACTGGTCAGCGGCGCGCCGATAAATCCGCTTCGATCCGCAGGCGTCCCCTTGCGGAGCTCGAATTTTACTCAACGATCAATCGAGCACTGCTGCGCGCAAAAAGGCTCGCGGGGCTCGCGCGTATCGTGTCGACTCTCTCGATCGCCGCGGCGCAGGATCGACGCCCGTGGTTTTCCCCGTTGTCTGCCTCGTGGTCGGCGTTCTCGCGACACTATACGCAAGGACGATCCCGCAGAGTCTCGCTGGAAAAGAGGCTTTGCGCGCAGCATCTCGGCGCGCGACGAGTGAAAGCCGAGTCTGAAAGTGAAAGTATGGCACGTATACTTGCTTGCGGCGCTCGGCCTCTGCGACTCGGCGCACGGGCGGCAGCTCCGCATGTGTCGAGCACACGCTGCACTGACTGGTCGTCGTCCGCGGAGCTTCGTCCTGCGTTGCCGCTGGCGCGCGCGCGCACGTGGTCCGGGAGCTAACGAACTGGCCAGTCGCACCAGAGCGCACGGCTTCTCGCGCGGCTCGTTAAAGCTAATCGCGGCCGACTATATACCGTCCGCAAACACCCGAGAAAGGTTTTATTGGTCGCTCGGTCTCGCGCGCCCCGCCGACTGACCGCATTGTTTCCACAGATAAAGGTGGTGTGCCGCCGATAAGCCGAGCGCGATGTCCGCGTCTCAGGGTGCTCTCGATGCGATTCGTACGAGCGCAGACACTCGATGCGCGTGCAATTACCCGAAGGCTTCTCGTCCGTCCAGTCGATTTGGCGAGGAGGCCGGCGCCGAATTGCGCAACTGTTCTGCCCCGACTGGTGCTGCGCGAGAAATGTGCAATATCGGTCGTCCTCTCGAGACCAAGTGAGTGTGAGTGTGTGTGTGCGCGCGTGTGTGTGTGAGTGTGTGAGAGAGAGAGAGAGAGAGAGAGAGAGAGAGAGAGAGAGAGAGAGAGAGAGAGAGAGAGAGAGAGAGAGAGAGAGAGAGAGAGAGAGAGAGAGAGAGAGAGAGAGAGGAGGAAAAGAGCGACAAAGGAATGCGGCCTTCGACGATTATAAAGTCAGATGAGAAGGAGCTCCGACAGCCTCTCGGCTTCCTCGACGCGCTTACCGAGGATCGTCATACCTGTTGCGGATGCCAGGTGCGCCTGAAGAAACCCTTGAATTTCATCCTGCTCTCTCGTGCGACTGGCCGATCACGCGCATGCAAAAGCGTGCCAAAAACTACCGAGTTCACATGCGATTCGCCTGTGCCAGCGAGCGGGCATCGATCACACTACTAGGCTGTCGCGCGGCCGGCTGTTATCCACGGAGCCGCGCTCGCTGCCACGGGAGGAGGTGGTGGACGCTGCACACCGCGCGCGCGCTCTACGAGCAATGCCAAAGGCCGTCCGCGGCGACACGAGACGCTCCTCTCCCAGTCGTCTACGTCTGCCCCCTCGTCGCGTGTCGCCGCCGCCACCCGCCGCGCGCAGACAGTCGGACCGCACGTCGAGCTCGTCCGCTTTCAACGAGTTCGCGCCGCGCGGCAGCTTCTCTCCGCCGTGGAAATAAGCACGCGGGAAAGCTCGGACATCCGATAATTAACTCGTATTGCGATAATGTCGGTCGCGGACAACGACCACGCTCTTTGTCGTTGTTAAACCGCTCGTTATCGAGCGCGATAATGGGCTTTCTGTTGGCCGGAAATCGACGCGATATGCCTTATTTACGTTCTTTTTGATACTGTTCGGCCCGTTTCTAATTTTCAGGATGAATGAATACACGATTGCTTTTTGAAAGAGTACTTTTATTAAAAAAAAGACTTCCTATTCTGAATATAAGCTTTTTGATGTTTTCCGTAGTTAACGTTTACTCACGGTATTTCGCGCGCGCGGTGCAAGCACTATGAGAATGCAATGAAAGGAAAAAAAAGCTATCGCTGACACTCGTCATACTAAGTATAAATGATTGAATAAATACTTTTTCGCGCGTGACACTCATTTCTTGATGGTGAATTTGTCGAGCGTCGGCGCCTCCAATTCTTTCTCGTTTCGGAACTCTACCTTATCGATAGCCGACTCTGGACTACCTTTGCGCTGGAGCCAAGTTTTCCTGCGGACGAATAAAGAGACAGAGAGAGAGATAGAAAGTTTTTAATTTGCGGGGCACAATTGGGTCACGGCGATGCGTGGACTTACAATTCGTTGACTTTGCATTGTTCACCTTCCACGTAGCCGAGGACGGTGCCTTGCTTGGTGTTCATGCACCAGCCGTTCAATTTAAGCTCTTTCGCTTTTTCCTTGGTGTACTGTTGCACGAATCATTTCCAATCATCAATGAATTTTTAGCTCTCTTTTACAGCCTTAGCATACAATCAATTATGTCATGCATATGTAATCTCGTTCGTAATTTTGAGGAAAAGCGAGAGTCAAGCAGATAATTGTTAATTAGTTTAATTAGGAATATCAGATTGCAAATACCTCCATCATGTGTGTAAAAATTACTTATTCATCTATTTTCTTTATGTCAAGTATGGTTCTTTGTTCAAATGAAAACGTAGATTAGTTTTCTTTTCAAATATATTGTTGATATTTTATTGCGATATGTATCAATTACGCGTTGTAATGTTTGAAAAATACGAGTCGTTAACTCATAAATTCTTTGATATATTTCTCGCGCTCTTATTCAAATTCTAACGATTTCACAATTCACATAAAAGATGGAGCCACTTTATATCTCGATAGATAAAACAGCTAGCAATTGCTAAAAAGATATTGTTAACCAGCACTTAATTTTAGATTATTCCAACATCTCTTTTATCACAAGCATGATTCCCATCCAAAATACTTAACAACCCATAGAGCATCGTCCAAAAATTACCTTTCTGAAGAATACACCTGCAATCAAGCAAAAACACGAAAAATCAATGCATTTGCAATCATCGAATATTGACGAAAATTCCTTGGTGAAACACATGAGTCACGTACCCTGTACTCTGCCATAAACCTCGAAGTCAACGCCAACGATAGCCGGCATCTCGTCGGGCGTGCAAAACTCACGGACAAGCATCAGGAAGATTATGATCAGAAACGAGTGCACGTGGAAATTCTTGAAAATATCTATAACTAACATTGGGCGGATGATTTTCGCGGTTACCAAGGTCACTACAATAACAAACGAGCCGCGCACACCACGGGTAGCATATTCTGCTTATGCTCGCCACAACGCGCGTTAATGCTGCGTTGCTTAAACTTAAGCGTTCATACGACCACGAGTACCACGACCGCACGACGGGACGACGGCGTCTAGTTATAGATGTCACCACTATCGCCTTATACGCGAAATATATACTGCAGGCACGACAGATGCATATGTGCGGAAAAAGCACCGCTATCAACAATGATGCTTTCCATACAGAATCGCATATCAACTGGCCAAGAACATTTGAGGTATTTCATTTGTTATTCCCATCCAATTACATTTTCTTGCACCGATTTTCAAGACATACCGTTTACATATTTATCGACAGTTTTTTTTATACTTATAGCTTAATCAAAAGAATCG